CAACAAGCGCTTAAGGGGAATCTTGTGTTTGAGTTAAATTCTTTATATAATAACAAATAATGACTAATTATTGTATTTAAAAAAAAAAACTACTAACGACGTTTCCGCATTTTTTCTTCTGCTTCATCCTCTGGGCTGATTTCGAAAGTTCATAGATTCAACAAATCAAATGTACTCCCCAAAAGGAGAACCTCTATTCTACTTCATGTGTGATGCTACTTAAAAAATAAGTTTCTTATGAGTAAAAATTAAATTTATGGAGTAAAAAAATCAGGTATGATTTAAAAAGTTAATAACTTACACATCACTTATTGTGATGGTATCTATCAAGAGACTGTAAATAGAAAGAAAAATCAATGTTTTATAACGATGTTCAAGAAGTGTATACATTATATTTCATATTTTTCAGTATACTAAATGATTCCTCCTCGGGACACTGGGTGGCTGCCTGAACAGAAGAAAATAAAAGGGGGGGGGGAGAAATGATTAAAATATTTTGACTTTTTAGAAGATGAAGTTGACCAAATCATAAGGAAAACAAAACTAACCCCGTTGCCCTCACTCGTCGTCTACGAGGTTCTCTATGTTAACAGAAAAAAAGAGTCATATACATAATTTAAATATTAATTAAAGAGGGAATAATTTTATTTCATTGATTTTTTTTTCTTCAAAAATTCCCGTTAAGAGACTTATTCAGTTGGTGTGCTGAAAAATGAGGTAAAAATGCAAATTGAATCATGATTTTTTATTGCAACATAAACTAATGCGAACTAAAAAAAATGATTTTGTATATAATCATTGTCTTAATTATGAAAAAAAATTATGTATGTTAATTTTACCCGATCATAATACCGTCGATGAGATAAAAAATTCATTTATGATGATCTAAATGAATTATGAAGGAAATCTTTTTAAGTTGAAGTAAAAAAAACGTAAATTTATAGAGATATACCTGCACATGGTTTACCGGTTTGCGGAGAAATAGTCCATACTATAAATTTAAACCCCCCAGAATTTAATACTTGTCATCCCTGATGCTTAAGAATAACATCAGAAGAATTATAACACCAGAAAAGAAAAACAATATACTCACGGACATGGCAATCTGGCCAATTGCTCACTTATCCGCGTGAGGTTGCTGATAATTTTTTTTCACTTCTTCATCGAAAAAAGAAATAAATATCTCTGAGAAGAATTTTTGAATATTTTTTTTTCCGATTCAAAAATGAAAACTGGAAGTACCTTTCCATGATGAAGCGGGTGGGTCCAAAAAAGAAGTGAAGATTTAGCGCTTTTTTCCTCATTCTATATGGTGAAGAGTCAGTGTTACAAATAACCTCTTGGTTCATTATATGTTCTTGAATAATAAGCCTGGGATTAGAAAGAGGAACTCGCAAACATTTCATAACTTATTTTCTATTCAATGGTGAATTCAAGCGATAAACATGTGTTTCCTCGTGTAACAACGAACGATACAGGATTTACTGCAAATTTCAACGTGAACAAATGATATCATTGACATTGACTGAGCAGAGAAAGAAACATGTATATTACACAATTAACATAGTTGGTAATAATATATTTTTGAATAAAATCAACTATTTTTTAAGTCAGTATATCAAAGACGAAAAGATGCTAAGTAATAAAATAAATTTCTTTATTAAATCTAAAATTATTTTACTTGATAGTCTCTGTGATAACAAATTTGATTTAATTTACCTTTAGAAAATAAGCTAATCATTTTATCGCACGAAAATTGAAAGTGATGATATATTGACTTCAAATTTACATTCCTCTATGTTACATGTATATACAAATGTACTACAAACATAACGTAATTAATTTATGGTTGCAAGTTGATAAAAAAAATGCATTATTATATACGAAATACAGAGGAACATTTCTTTACCAAGCGTAAATTATCTTCGTCGTCTTCTGTTACAATTTTCTTCTTTTTTGGAGTGAAATTACGTTCATCTGTAATGAGAATTTTCAGGGAAATAAAATGGAGAAATATTCCCTAAATGAACTACAATCGACAGGTCTAAGCCTAATTGATATACTATATATCTACATCTTTATGATAATACAATTTACACAAGATCATATTGTCAATAAACTGCAATTGCATGTTCAGAAGGGGGGGGGCATTTAAAGGAAAATTAAACTTACCATTGGAGGTCTTGCTGGGCCGCCTACATTTCTAACTGTAACAATTCCCGATTGTTTGTCATGGCGCATTGCTAAGAGAGCCAACGCAAGGTTTTCTTGCATGGACATTTGTGTTTCATTTTTGTTGTCTGTTAAAATGAATTTGCACTTACACTTAAAACAGAGGATATTTTCCTTAAAATGTGCTATTACTATAAGATTACTATTAACACTATATTTATACATAAAGTACTGCTCGAATACTTTTAAAACTGCTTCTTTGAAAACTATTAAATCTAAGACTAGAATTTAAAAATCAATGATTTTTTTAAAAGTTTTACATGGGATAGTATAGGAACTACTCACGTTGGAAATGTAAATTCAACCTTCTCTCTAAAAAAGGGACATTTGAATTGCAAACTGCGCCTTCTGATACTCCTCGGTGTATCCGTTAAAGAAGTATTGCTTTCCCCCATCACTTCCAGCACCAATTTCAAATTTTACACATCTTGGGAGGAAAGCTAACAAGCGAGTGAGAAGAAAAAAGTGTTATTCGTTTATATATATCACCGTTTTCCTATAGGATGTTGACTCTTCACCTCTTCTATGGGTCAGCAACAAACAAGGTCGTAGAAATAGGATCAAAATTTAATTTTAAAAAATGCTAAACTTTTGAAAGATAGGTTGTAAACAAGTATTGTTTATTTACTTATATACAACACACACTTTATTTATATAATAAGATCCGCCCAAATTATTATATATTCTTACCAATTATGCTAATTAGATGAAAGGTTTTCTCTATATATTTATACCAAAGGCTCACAGCAGTCTCCACCAATTCAGAAGGCTTGCTCTATATATTCTTACCCATTATGGTAATCAGATGAAAGGGCTTTCTCTATAAATTTATACCAAAGGTCCACAGCAGTCTCCATCCACTCCCAAGGCTTGCTCTATACATTTATACCAAAGGCTTACAACAGTCTCCGGCCACTCGGAAGGCTTACTCTATATATTTGTACCAAAGGCTCACAGTAGCCTCCGCCTACTCATTGAGAAAAGTTATTTTTCAATATATCATCCACTTATATAACTTTAGACCAGACATCTTAGTGGGTATAGACTACTGTCAGTATTTGGTATAAATATATAGAAAAAGTCATAGGAATGATAACTAGTAAAAAGTTTTCAAGATCAGTTAACTCCATCTTGATGATTTAATGGATGTGAAAAAAGAACAACAAAATTGCAGACTTAATGAAATATATATTACATATTGATACATACATCACCAAGATGAAAAAAGAAGTTATTTTATTAAATGCACATAATTTTTAAACTCTGGAAGTGATCCACAGTACTCTCTCTCTTCGAAATAAAATTCGAAGTCAGCAGTTCAAGTTATAATGTAATGTTACCATGTAACTCTGATCCAAGAGAGATAACTCTATACAAAATAAAATCCATCCGTGGTATAAATATATCCAGTAGTAGTGAGACCATTACATCACTAGAGGAAAAAAAAAATCAACTACATACACATTAACTCCTCATCCCAATTCTCCTGGCAGGATATATGAATTTCATTATAAATAGGGAGAGAAGTGTCCCCCTTTTACGTACAAATTTTGTCACATTTATTTTTTTTATTTATATCTAAAACTAGTCCATGAAAGTTTTCACCGCAAAAGGGCTCCAACTCCTCATCCGAATTCTCCTCCGAGGATATATGGAATTCCTTTTAGTTAGGAAGAGAAGTGTCCTCTCTGTTGGTGATAAGTTTTTCTCGCTCCAAATAGTTGTCAAAACGTTGTTTGTCCGTACACTGTTTGTTATGCTCACAACCATCACCCCTTTTAATTTTATGGCTATGGTTAGAATAACATGAAGTGAAGTTTTTTTAGAATAGATTTGTTGCTTTTCGCACATTTAATTAAATGGCGTGACAGTCTTTCTTTTCTGATCACGTGTCTTATCATATGGGCAAATAACCATCTCATCTGAAGGCTTTTAATAATCCATCTTATTTTAGCTGTATAAAACGAAAGGAGTTGTTTCAAAAAAATTAATTTCATTTTTTCGCAAGACGTCAATGGAACTTTTCACCAGTAATAGCTCTACATTTTAATAAAAATTGTTAAGTATTAAATTCTTTATTTAAACGAAAGTGTCAATTGGTCCATCTCATCAAAGATTTTGAGACCATTGTTAAAAACATTCTCAACGTCTTGTTTTTCGTTCAGAGTCAAGTGAATTTTTCCACATGTACAATTCTGTTTTTATTTTTCCAGATAATTTTGAATTATAATACATTGCTCTTTCAGTTTCACAAATTCATTTATTGGTTGTCCGCCTCATCAGACATTTCAACGGTATGGTCAAAACATTCTCAAAGCCTTGTTTTTTGTTCAGAGTCAAGTGTTTTTCCCACATGTACAGTTCTATATTAAAAAAAAAAACCTTAAAGTTTAGAAAATTATTATGAATGTACATAGTTCATTATTTATCAAAAGTAAATTGTTCTAGATATCAATGACAAGAAAACCATATTCTTAATTTTTCCACAACTATTACAGCTCAATATTATACAGAGAAGACATAAATCGTTCTATGTGCTAATAATAAAACTTTTTATGAACTTAGTAAAAAAAAATATCTGTAATTTCATACGATTAAATTTCTTTTTTGCTCTTTATATACTAAAATAGGTAACAAAACTATTAACATGCAATTTGTTAAAAAAAGCATTCTAATAGAAACAGTTTCATTTTACAGAATACACATAAATTCATACTTTTGTAAATATTTTTAATGATAATAAGTATCCCCGTTTTTATTCTTTATCTCTAGAATTCATGATCCCTATCTAGATCCACAATACGTTTTCGTTTTCTTGGAGTCATCACAAGCTATTGGTTTTAACAATAAGAAGGGAAATATATCAATTAAATCTAAAATACTTATAAAACATTAAAAAGCGTGAGTTGTGAGTTAGAGATAATAGGATATTGAAAAGCAACTTACCAACTGTGGACTTGGGGGACCTTGGCTGTCTTTTTTCACGTCTTCAACAGCTTTATGTATTGTGTAATACTGCTCGTAGAGACAGTCGAAGATCTCAACGGGGAGACTCGTCTGTCGCCCATTGTTGTTGTCTACAAGTGATGAAAGAGAGATAACTTGTAGAAAATTTCAGACAGAATGTACTAACTCGCAGAAATTTAGCTCTAATGAAAATCCACTCTGTTGCCAATTTACTGAATTTGCTCACTTTGAAGATGTAGATAAACTTTGCCTTTGTAATAACTGAGCTGAATTGCATACTGTCCTTTTTGGTATTTGGTACTTTCCTTTAACAGGAACTGAATACTTCCGTTACTTTTGGCCTCTCTTTCAAACATCTGAGCCATGATGATGATAATAGAATTATACGCACGCAATCGTAAAATAACGATTGAGAAAATGTACCCCTATTATATGGTATACATACATGAACTGTCCCTGAACTATTTTATATAAATTGTTTCTTTTTAATTTGTTTACTAAAACATTTGGATAACAGTAGAGAAACCTTTGCATGAACTATCACCCCACCAGCAAACTTTATTCACTACCCTCTGAAAGATGCTTACTTGGTCATTTTGTGAAGTAAACAACATTTTTAAGTAAACAATATAATTATAGATCGATCACGACTTGAAAAAATCTCATCACTAACCTACTCCTTCAAAGCCGCTTTTCTTACATCGACAATGGGACAAAAGATCTCACCGTACACTCACATCAACTATAAAAAAATTTGTTTAAAAAAATACTTTAAAGAATATGTTTTTCAACCTTGAAAACAACATCCCTTCTCTCCCTATTATTTTTAAAGAATTAATATTGAAAATTGATAGCTACATATAGCTATCATTTCTATTCTATTATTAAATATTCTATCATTAAATATAATTATCAGTTCTAATATCGATTTGTACTATCAATCATGATTTATAATATAACTTTTTCTTTGAAGCACAGAAATATAAACAGTTGAAATAAGATGTTTTGTCTATAATATTGGACTATTTAAAAAAAAACATCCCAAAATATTGAGAACAACTTAATAAATATCTCATAGTATAATATACATCGGGTTCGATATCTCATTAATTTGCTGATTTCCGCGCGCTTGCTGGTCATGAGGTGCAAAATGGATAGAATGAACATGTTTGTCCTTATTACTGTAGTTATTGGATTCCATTCAGTTGTCAGTAAATATTTCTATGAATGCTCAGATAATGGATACAATTTGGTTTAAGATTGGAGTTCTTATACAGTGTACAGGGGTTGTGTCGCCACGGACGTCACTTCAATGGAATTTCAATACTTTGACAAAAGTTCAACGATCGATTTAAGTTGCAGTGGATCCATCAATAGAATTACCATTATGGAATGTAATGACTATGGAAATGTACAAATTGTACCATCAGGACATGTTGTACAGGTGTTCTGTCGAGGTGTGAAATGTGGAGGTATTTTTGGGGGTTATATTGTTCATCATATGACATATCATTGTACTCTACATGATTTCATTTCTCCCCATAATCAAAGAATCTTCCCCACACCTTCATTGTGGAAGTCACATTGTGTAATTATTTTGTGAGTCTATATTTTCATCCTTTCTTTTCATTGTGCAAATTATTGCTTTTAGAGTTTCCTACAAGCAAAAACTATTTGTCTAAATAAAGCAAAGTTGAACAGTACACATCTGGGGAAGCGTCAGGTGGTCGCCATTTTCGCAAAAGGATGCCATCTTTCATATAGAAACATTCTCCAACTTTAGTGGCCTCTTCTGGTGGAAGTGCCCTCTTACTAAGTTGAATGATATCTGGGTCTTTATGTTGTTCAGAAAGTAACCGTTCTTGACTGAGGATGTCCTTGTCTTGGCTAACTGGTGGATGCAACTCATCACCACCAAATTTTGGTAAAAGTTCATTCTTTACTGGCTTCTTGATATTGTGTGGTTTCATGCTTGCTTGAGTGCCATCACGGTCAGAAAAAAAAGTGTCATTCAAGTCAATGTCAGTAGAGGTATTTGCTCTGTCAAAGGCTTGAGTATGGTCAACCTCCATTTCTCGTCTTCTGGCCATTGCTCTAGTGACAGCACAGGCTGGATATATGTCATCATCTTCATCATTAGACATGACCTCTGGAGTGATTTTCTCACAAACTATAGGATCTGGTACAACTTTTCTACCAGCTAAATCGTTGCCTAGCAACAAAGAAATGCCTTGAACGGGAAGAGTAGGTCGAACTCCTACAGTAACAGGTCCAGTAACTAAATCTGACTTCAAACAAATTCTATGCAGGGGAACATCAATGACGCCTAGCTCCACACCCTGTAATAAAACTGACCCACCAGTAGAAGTCTGCTTAGACAAAGGAAGCACGCCCTCTAACAACAAAGTCTGTGCAGCACCAGTATCTCTCAAAACCTGGACAGGTTCAATTTCGCTAGAGTCACTGAGTGAAACAAATCCCTGAGACATTAAGGGCTTATAATCTTCCATAGAATCAATAGAACTGGACTGTGAACCCTGAACATCAGGAGTGTCAGAACAAATAGAAACTATAGCTTCCCTATCACCTCTAACTGCCGCACAAGCATGTGGCCGAGTTTTATCAAGGTTATTTTTTCTCTTAAGTTTAAAGCATTCACTGATCTGATGACCTTTTTTCTTACAATAACTACAAGTAGGAAGTGACCCTATTCCATGTGAACCTTCAAAACGTCCTGGACCGGATTTAGAACCACTTTGTGATGGAGACTGGGGACTTGTGGAAGACTGAGACCCTGAACCACTCTTTTTATATGTGTCTGAATAGGTAGAATTACTGCTAGTCTGAGATCTTGATACAAAATTCTTTTTATGAGACAGAGTATAAGTATCAAATATCACTGCTGCCTCTTCAAGAGTTTTCACATTCTTATCTTCTAGATGTGTTTTCAAATCTTGAGGTACACATTCTTTAAACTCTTCTACCAGGATGACTTGGTGCAATTTAGCAAAGTTTTTATCAAGTTTCTTAGATCTAAACCAGTGATCGAATAAATCTTCTTTCTCTCGTGAAAATTCAACAAATGTTTGATTATCGAACTTCCTATACTTTCTGAACTTTTGTCTATATGCTTCGGGTACCAAGTCGTATGCTTTTAATACTGCTTGTAATATACTAACCCTTCTCTGTTCAACTTTTTCCCCACAGGGCTAATAAAAATAGTTAAAACAAAATTGATTTTTTTTCTTTTTTTTTCCTTAGGTACGTAAAAAATATGAATAAGAATGAGGAATTTATTTAAGTAAGGATTGAATTAATACACTCACGAGACATCAGGAGTACTGAAATAAAATTTACAGACTGAATGTAAAAAATTCATAAATTATAAAACTTAACAAAGTGTGCGTAAAAATAAAACACTAAATTTCTTCACACGTAATTATATAATCTCAATACCTGAAAAATATCTTTCTTTTATGCAACCTGAGTGTCATTCAGGATAAAAATAATTCACATCTGAAGTAAATGATTCATACTGATTTAATTTAAGATTAAAAAAAAATAAGAAAAACGGTAACAAAACCAAATAAAAAAGGAAAGAAAGAAAAAAAAGAAAAAAAACTCACGGACACTCCATGTTCTTCACATGGCACCGTAAAATAAACTTACTCAGTGGGTGTACTGAAAAATGAGATAAAAATGCAAATTGAAAGATGATCTTTTATGGTAACATTAACAAATGTCAATTTAAAAAAAAATATATTATTTTTTAAATATAATCATTAATCTTGATAGTGAAAAAAATTAATGTATGTTAATTTTATCCCATCATAATACCTTCGATGAGAATTATTTATGATGAACTAAGTGAAAAAAGAAGGAAATGTTTTCAAGTAGAAGTAGAAAAAGGTAAAATTATGGGAAATACCTAGTCATTGGTGCCCTTCTTTTGTTGGAATAAGAATCCATGCTATAAATGAAAAAACCCCAGAAATTAATATTGGACATACCTGATGCTTAAGAATAACATCCGAAGAATCATTACTCCAGGAAAGAATAAAAATACTCACGGGCAGGGCAGTCTCCCCAGTTGTACACATATTGTTGTTAATTTTTCAATTATCTCTCTAACACCATCACGAATACAATGCCTTAAAAAAATATATATATATATATATCTCTGAAAAGAAGTTTCAATTTTTTTTTCTGACTAAAAAATGAGAAAACATGAAATACCGTTCCATGTTGAAAGAGGGGGTCCAAAAAAAAGGAGTGATTTTTTCCTCTTTTTATATGGTGAAGGGTCAGTGTTCATTATTTTTACTGAATTTTGATTGGAAAAGGGTATCTTAACAATGAAAAAAAACGGTTTTTATTTTCTTCATTTTTAAAGGAAAAACGTAAAATTGCTAAAGATGACCTAATATGGTAAAACTGTGTCATACAGGATCCCTCCCCGTGTAGTCGAAAGAACTCGCGAGTCACAGATTGAGCAAAATTAATAGGAAAATGCGGGAACACCCCAGACAACAATAGATAAAGACAATAAATAAAATTTTTCTGATACGGGTGATAATGAATCAATTAAGAGGACAAGTTAACTGTGTTAGTAGGTAATCATTAGTAGTATAAGCCGTCTGGATGGGGGGTTCAACTGAGTGCACTTTTGGGGCTGGGGTGGATAGGGGGTTCAACGGAGTGCACTTTTAGGCCCTGGGGGATAGGGGTTT